TTTATATTTTTGTAATTTTGTAATTTTTAATTTTGTTGTTGCTTGTTTGCTTTTAAAAAAAAATCAAAATATTGGGCTTAGAACATTTGAACAGCCTACAAACGATTAATAAGCCGTCTGCACCGCGAGCCGAGGAGATGGAAATAGAAATGAGAATGGAACCTTCTTGCTGGCCACATCACGGCGCGCCTGCAGCCCCCTGAACCCGGCCTGGATCTTGAGCGCAGCCTTGCCCACATCCGGGTCGTCCAAGTCTATGTCCACTTCCTCCTCGTCCGCATCCGGTGGTGGTGCCGTGGTTTGCTCTGCTTCCTGTGGCTGGTGGCGGGAGAGGGCAGGGTTCGAGTACTGTCAGCTTGGCTCAACCACAATTTGGGGGTTCGGGCAGCCGGGGGGAGGGTTCGCCTTGGCTTTTTGTGTATTATTTCTTTTCTGGTTTTCCTTTCTTTGTTTCTTTTCCTTTCCTTCTTTCTTTATTGGTTAGTTTCTTTCTTTTTTTTTCTTTCTTTCTTTATTTTTGTAAGAGTTTAACGGCACTTGCAACACAATTAATACAAACAAGTATGTGCCGAATAACAGATTAGAGGTGTTACAAGACCGTAACATATAGACATAACAGAAACAGGAGATATGAGGAGGGTAGGTGTTTGATGGGAGAGAATAGGAGCAAACCAGAGCACTCTGCCTGTCAGGGCCAGCCTGGGCTGAGAGTAATACGACATTCTAGCATTTTATTTCAATGAACCCAGTTTTTGTAACTAGAATCTCGATTTAAATATTTCACCACCTTCGGTGTTCAAAGGGTTTATTAGGTTAGTCGGATACGAAAGCTGTACTTTATTAACTGGACAACTTTGGAAGGAAAAGTAGCCCGAGTGGAAGTGGAGTGGTTCAAATTCAATCTGGTGACAAAAGTGTCTCGATAGTGGGTGGTAATTTCATTCAGCAAAAGAAAAACGACATACTTAGTGTGAATTGGGAACTGCAAACTGAAGCACACGGGTAAAGGCACGTGGATCGAGTTAGGAATAATGCGTTAAGCCAATTTACACGCACATGCACACAAACACACACACAAACACACACACACACACACACACACACACACACACACACACACACACACACA